AGGACTGCGTCGTTTTGATGTACGCCAGGTTCTAATTGGACTTGATGGAGAAAGCTTTCTGTGCATCTTTAAACAGGACTTTGAATAATAAGATCACTTGACAGAAGTATTGAATGAAACCAAATCGCGTAACTCTGCGTGAACACATCTTCTGATGTCATTTCAGTGCCAAATAAGAATTAATTTCCTGAAGGCATCTGATACCTGGAGAGATATTAGTCACTCTCTGTGTATCAAGGACACTTTTTATTCTAGATTTATATGTGTTCACAAGGTGAGAGAAATCAAGGAAGGAAAATGGATATCTGATGCAGGTTTGAAGTGAAGCCATAAAAATTAGGAAGTGTGAATAAGTGGTCAATATTATCTGCAGCCGTGTTGCAAACTTGAGATCTTTACCGAAATAGCCCTTTCTCTGTCTGACAGCAATTTGCAAATACCTGCTTTTATGATGAATATTGGTGGTTAACTAGACAACTCCGGCACTGCACGTCTACGGGCTGAAAGGGAGTTCTGAGCAAAGATTCTTCCTAATTTTTGCCGAACTTGGCCAAATAAGAGTGGAAGGCTTCTCTAGCCAACTTTCTGTCGCGGTTGTGGTTGTGGTGCACCTCCATAAAGAGGTTCTGTGCCTATTTCTGAGCTCCTCAGTGGAGCTCAGAAGACCTCAGCCCTGACTTCTCCATCAGGGGAGGTGTCAGATCCGAAGCCCCGGAGGTGACGCCGACTGATCGTGCCCCTCTCTCTCTGTTTTGTGCTCCCGCAGCAACCCGGACCTGAGGAGGACGGAGCCCATCGTGGAGAGCTCGCTGCAGAGGACCAGCAGCGGCAGCTCCTCCAGCTCCAGCACTCCCAGTTCCCAGCCCAGTTCGCAGGGCGGCTCCCAGCCCGGCTCCCAGGCTGGCTCCAGTGAGCGCAACAGAGTCAGAGGTGAGGGTCTAGGAAACGTCCCTTAGCACCGAGTGTGATTTCTGAAGCTTCTTTGGTAAGGAGGAAGGGCAGACGGTCTGTGGGGCAGTGCCACGTAGCTTCTACAACCCCACTTGTGATGGGTATGTGATTTTTGGGGGGTTTTTTTGGAGCTTGATCTTTACGCGAAGCCTGAGATGGGAGCAAAGGAGTGATGGAGCCCATAAGAAACTTCCTCTAAAATGCTTTTACCAGGCAGCTATGCTGAGACTGGGCTTATGTTCCCACCCAAATTGCTTCCTCTCATCTTCGAGCCACTCTTAGAGATGTTCCATTCTCCTGTTTAATCGTAGTAGGAGTTGCTAAAGCGCATCCAACCCATACATCTGCATTTCTGGCACAGCCCCACAGTATAAGTCCCCTGGGCTGAAGCACATTAAAGCAGATGCTGCCTCCATGCTTTGAATTTTTTATGACTTGACCATTAAGATGACGTGTCTGTTGTTGGAATCATCACTCCTCTAGGTAGTCAGTAAAAGGAGTTTTATCACCAATTGCCCTCTTTGGTTTGGTTTTCTTTTTACTAATGAGAGATCCTGCGACAAATAATGTCCTGACAATGTCAGATGCTGCAGAGCTTTTGATTTATCACATGCCCTGCTCTTTTGCAAAGTGAATTTGTTTCTTTAGTAGGAAAAAAAAGGGCAGTAGTACTGTGGGAGGGCTGGCAGTGGAGGCTGGGCTGGATTGTGGCTTCTGTTGCTGTACCGATGGGGACTTGTTGCAGTGACAGCCAAGCCAAGAGGAGCAGGGGGCGGTTTCAAGCAAAATGGTGATGAAGCCCACGCACCCACACGTCTGGGATACAGCGACGGCTTTCAGCAGTGATTGAATTCCTGCTCTCTCCTCTTGCCTTTTGCCCAGGGAACGCCAAGCCCGAAGGGTCCCCTGTGCTCTCCCACGAGCCCGCCAAGGTAAAGCAGGAAGACAACAGGGACGTGACGCGACCGAGCCGACCCGCTGTGAGTCTGAAACTGTTTCCCCTGGGAATGTTGCCAGCCAGTTTGGCCATGTTTCCCCTTGGTGCAGTAGCACAAGCGCGGGGACCCCAAAAAAGAGGCTGGTACTGTCGCTGCTCCAGCAGAGAGACTGGAAAGCGGCGGTACGGTGAGAGCCCCGCGGGAGATTTGAATGCTTCAGAGAGTTGCATGAGTTTTGATCAGGAGCCCAAGTCTAGGGGAAAGCACTTAAGCCTCTGTTTTCACGTGAAGCAGATGCTTAAGGGCTTTGCTAGCTTGGGCGCGGTGGTTGCCGATGGCACATTGTTGTGTTCCGTGCTGCATGTCCCCTCGCAGCAGCGCGGCGGAGGGATGCTCTGCTCGGGAAGGCTGGGCCACCGGCCCCTGACAGCCTTCGCAGCTTAAAACCAAACCCAGTAGTGGTTTCTGTACACTCTCGTTTTATTATTCTGAGCAAAATCTCATCCGAAGTGTTTCCTCTTGGTTTAATGCTGTTGACGTTCGTATTTTAAAACTGCAGAGTTGGCCTAATAACAAAATGAATTTCCACTGCTTCTCTTTTTTAATGTATATTAATGTTTTGTTGATGTTGTTTTTTCTCTACACTCCACAGCGTTGAGCTAACAATTCTAATTTTATTTCTAACCTGCTTGCCCTTCCTCTGGCTTTTTCCTGTCCCGATCTGTTTCCTCTGATGCTGATTATTCTTCCTTTACCCACAGAGCTATAAGAAAGCTATAGATGAGGTTAGTGATATCTTTTCTCAGTGGGTCGTGCCTATGCAAGGTTGACTAGTTAGTGCTTAATATCGAAAAAAAATGGATTTTCTTGGTGCTGACATTGAAAAAGCTGGCGATGCGATGTCGGGTCAGACGGGAGACTGAGCCGTCGCGTTTCAGCGTGGGGAGGGATGTTCTGTTCAGCCCTGGGCTGCCCGGAACCTGCTGGCGGCACCACTGGCGCGGTGGCCATGGCGAGAAAAGCAGCCCAATGCGGAGCAAATGGTGCTGCCATTGTTCAGCGTGTTTTTTTTAGGTTGGTGGAGCGACATTTGAAAGGGAAAGGTTTCTTGTGCCACTGGAGGTGGTCTGGGCAGCCCCTGCGCCGCTCGCCGCATTCTGCTCTCAGCTACAGCCCCTGGCCCCCACTGCTTTCAGTGGGACCACCGAGTGCTGTCTGAAGTGAGTTTTAAGCCTCAATTTGAATGAAGATGCTTGGCAAATAAGTGAAAACAGAGCAGTGGAATACAGTGGGTACTTCATTCTTATGGACTAGACCATCAGCCCTAAAAACCAGAGACGCCTCAGGTGTGGATGGGCAGTGGTAATCTTCACCCATCCTCTCACAAGAAATAAGAGTCTCCAGTTACACCTTTTCCACTATATAACATTGTAAATGTGTGTGCATCTGGTGATGGTGGTTGATTAAATGTTCCTGGAAAGAGACCAAACATTCCCAGGTCAGGATTTAACTTGGCCTCACACGTGCATCACTCTGCACACTCTGCTGACACGGAGAGCTGCAGGGCTGCCATGGAAAGCTCTGGTATCAGCAGCCTCTTTCCTCTAAAAATAGAAGATATGAAAGAAGAGATATGTGCTGGTTAGTTAAGTTGTTCTCTTAGATAAAACATGAGCAATGCGTTTTGTTTAATGAGGTGCTTTGTTAAGAAAAAAGCACATAAATCAGTGTCTAAGTAGAGGCAGCGCGTGTGCTAAATCAAAGTTCAATGAGCTCTGTGATTCTGGAAACCAATCTGACTTGATTCCAGGAAATACTAAATCTAAAGAAGTCTTTGTAATTAAAAGTAATTAAAGAGCACTGATACTGCTAACTTATGTATTATGTCACCCTCAGTAATAACATTCCATACTACACATGTGGAACTACAGAGCACTTTCTTTTTAGTTGTCAGATTGTTTTTGGTCCAAGAGCAACCCAGTGAAGCTGTTTAATCCTACAAAGTGCTCATTACTTAGAGAAAATGATAGCATCAAAGAATTAACCATCCTGAGGCAAAGCTTTAACTAGGAAATATGAGTTATCTGATGATATTGTCTGGGAGTATTATTGCTGTCATAACTTCCAAATTAGTTATTAAAAACTAATTAAGCTGATTTTTAAAATACTTGACTATTTTCTGGTGATAAGCAGAGAAGGCTGGTAGGGTGCCCTGAAGCACCTTAGAAATGGAAGGTGCAAAAAAGAAGTAATTTTCACGGTCCGTGGCTGTGATGGTGGAGGGTTCTGTCCTAGTCCTGCACTGCAGAAAGATCAGATGAAATTTTAAAGAGGCCCTTACACAGCCCTGAAGTCCTTTTTAGAGTTGGGAACACTCTCATCGAACTCGAAGGGGAGCTATCAATAAAGAACGTGTTTTATACTCTAAGTGGAAAGCATTGTTAAGCTGTTGAAATTGTCATTGGTTCTTGTTTAGGAACAGAAACAATTGCAGAAGCTGCTACAGCATTAATTAAAATAATTAGTTGTCATGACTGCAAATTTGACTGTATTTCAATCCCCGAGCACGTTGGCGTCAAAAATAAGCTTTTGAAATACGACGTTCTCTCAAGAGCCTTTCTTTAAAGGTACAGAGAGCACTTGGAGAGGGATATCTAAACTACCCATCACAGGTGTCTGCTGTGAAGCAGGGATTGATCCTTTGGAGGGGGGGGAAGCTTTCTTTTTTTGGGTATACAAGTATTTGCAAAGCTCTCTTACCTCGGCAGAGGTCTCTGCTCTACACCCGAGGCCAGGCAGGGCAGACCTGGGAGCAGAATGCGGCGCTGCCCACCGGGTGGTGTGGGTCATCGATAAACAAAGTGCCACTCGCTTGCAAAATAGTCCTGCTTGGCGATTTAAAAAAATATTAAATAATTAATTAATTAATCAGCCGGGTTTGCACCTCAGCCGTAGAGGTTTTCCATCGTTTTCTTCACATGTCGACAGGATAGATTTGTAAGAGCTCCCTTTGCAACCGTAATTAGTATTTGCCGTAGTCGCCCTGCTGGAACGGTAAACTGGAAATGCAGTAAATGAGAGTATGGCCGTAAGACAAATGTGGAATCTAGCCTTTTTCAATGAGTTTCTTTCTCCCTGATCCTTTATCTCTGACCGAATGCGCTGATGCCTACCTCGGTCACTAAAATAGGGAGAAATGGTAAGACTGACAGTTGCGATGCTTTGTTCGTCATGTGCATGTCTTGTGCAACAGAGTTCTCTAACCCATTCTAATTCGAGCTCTCATGCTTTTCTGCCCTACTGCTTCCCCCTGCATTGCTATAAAAGCATGTAAGATAACAAAAAGTCTCTTTTCTACACGGTGCCTGCCATGTTCCTTGTTTTGAAATAGCAGTGTCTATTTTATATGACTGTCGGGTCTGAGACCTCATCAAAGTCATGGTAAACTGAAAAATTATTACTAGGCTTTGAGACCGCTCCTACCTTTTCTCGTTCCAAGGCTTTTTTCTTTTTTTTTTTTTCTTCTTTTTGCCCTTAGCTTGTAGGCTGCCACATCTCACATAAAGTGCTTAATGGGTCCCGCTGAGGGATTTTTTTTTTAATTATTATTATTATTATGACTTTGATCATGTGGCTGAGTTAGAGCTGTGACTCCCAAGTATGGCTGAGCTGGGCGCTTCTCCTCGTGCTCCTCACCGCCTCTCGGCAGCCGCCCGGCAGCGGAGACTCACCATGGAAGCAGCTCTTGACGTGGGGATTGCACCACTCCATGGGAGATGCTGTCATTGCTTCCTTCCCAAATGCATTTATTACAGAATAAATATAATTACGGGGTCTCTTTGAGAAGTTTGAAAGAAGAGAAAACCCTGCAGGAGAAATTCTCCAAGCCAATCTTTGAAATGACGTTGTTTTCCAGTTTACTATGATGGTGACCGAACTTCACCTTTTCCAACAAATATAATTTTGTCGTGTATATACATATGAGTGTGTGTATATATATGCACATACACGTTCCAAACAGAAAAAGAAGAGGTTGGCTATTGATTTTTCAGTGAGCGTAAACCAGTTTTGTTTTGTTTAATAAATGCTACATGCTACAAACATTGTCTTACGTTCGTCTCATGTTTGTAACGACTCTGTAAAGCTATTTCTTGTTGCTCGTGCTGTTAGCATTGGCTTTTGAAGAGATGTATGTGACATTCTCCTCGCTTTAAATATAATAGCCAGCACTTTCTTGTTTTCTTGCCCCCCATACCGTTTAGGATCTGACGGCCTTAGCCAAAGAGTTGAGGGAGCTGCGCATCGAAGAAACTAATCGCCCCCTGAAGAAGGTGACGGACTACTCCTCCTCCAGCGAGGAGTCAGAAAGCAGCGAGGAGGAGGAGGAGGACGGGGAAAACGAGACGCATGATGGGACCGTGCCTGTCAGTGACATCCCACGGCTTATGTAAGGAGAGCTTCCTTTGAGGGGGGGAGGGCAAACCGTGAAACTGCGACGTGTCTTGGTCTGGAGGAGCGGGAGCTGTGATATGGAACACGTCCAAAGCGAGTCGGTGTTTGGTGGCTGGTGTTGTGGTTGCAAGGGATAATTTACTCAGATGAGTCTTTTTCCTGGACCAAACTAGAGCCGCTTAATGAGCAAAACTGAATTATTTCCACTGCACATTCAGTGAACTTGGACTCCAAGCCGAAGAACATGTTCCTGC